GGCAGGAAAGAAAACCTAGCCCTCTTGGGGATCTCAAGGAGCCTCAGGGCCTTGGTTTTCTGCTATCTGAACTCAATGTAGTTCAAAAGGGAGACTTTACCTGTTGATTGATTCAGACACCAGTATTTGATGACTTGCTGCAGCTTCCTCTCCCTGTGGCCTGTGATCAGGATGTGACAAAAGCTGACCAGCACAGGGTTGGTGTGATAATGATCCACATAGAGCATGCCAATCCACGCACTGAAGCCTGAAATCCAGAGGCAGGTTGAGGCCAGCAATACCTCCTGGCATGGCTCAGAGGGTGCTTTTTATGATGCAAATGCACTGTCAGTTTGTTCTCCAATGGTGTCTATGTCTTCGTTGAGATTCTAGAAAATTATCTGGAAGGGAGCCAACCTGTGGTGTGGTGATTAAGGTGGCTGGATCTCATGTGGTCGACTGCTTAGTTCAAGTCCTGGACCCAGTGGCTTGAAAAACATTTCAGGTACATGTGTATGCATGCCCAGAATCCCAAAAGAAGGCGAGATAGAGGAGAGGGGATTGCAGAATGACTATCCCCTATGGGGATGCTTTCTCACTTTGCCTTTCTGTCTCTGGCAAGTGCACATGTCTTCTAGCAAAATTCAAAGGAAAAAGAAAAAAAGAAAAAAGAAAAGTTTCTGGAAGGATTCCTGAGTTCATATTCTAATTTGTCCATTCTATGGGAAACCTGAGACTCAAGGAGGGTGGAAGCAGCCATGTCCACCATTGAGAAAGAAGAATTCACTGAATGAATGATAGAGAGCTAGAAACAGGACTACTTCACTTCCTCAGAAATGACTTTGACTTTGGAGTATTTCAACTGAACAGAACATTTTCTTAAAAATAAGTTTTCAGGGCCAGCAGGTGGCATGGTGGTTAAGGGTGATGGACTCCCACATGGCCGACCACGGTTTGAGTCCTGGACCTGGTGACTTGCTTTCTTACTCTCTCCCTCCCTCTCTTTCATTCTATCTTCTCTGACCAAATTGAAAATAAATTAAGTTGGGACCAGCAGTTAGCGTAATGGCTATGTCGCTGGACTCCCACGTAGTTGACTGTGGTTTGAATCCCGGACCCGGTGGCTTAAACTCACGCCAAGCGCGTGTGCGTGCGTGCCCAAGATCCTGAGAGGAGAATGGAGGAGAAGGGATTGCAGCATGGCCATCCCCCCTGGGGGGGTGATTTCTCGCTTTCTGTCTCTCTGTCTTTCTCTGTCTGTCTGGCAAGCGCACGCGCCCTATAGCAAAAACCTCTCCAAAAAAAAAAAAAAAAAAAAGAAAGAAAGAAAAGAAAAGAAATAAAGTTAAATAAAATAATTCTTTAAAAAAAAAATAAGTTTTCAAATAACAACACTAATTCTAAGATGTGTTCTTTCTCAAAAATTTCAGATCTCCGTATTCATAAATTGACTTCTAACTGGATAGAATTCAACTACCTCTGATGGCCACTTTTTTGTAACTCAAAAACTTGTGAAACAGGCAGGGGTTCCTAACTGTGAACCCCTACCTGACCATTGGGCTGTGTGCGTTTACTGCTATAACTCTTTATAACCTCTGTTGGGAAATAAGCTCTGAGCATAAATGAAGGGTGTGAATTCTGGGCATCTGGCATTTGTCTTCCTTGGCAGCTGCCCCAGGGTGCAAGACCAACCCTTACCCTGGGATGTGGCCAGATGGGGCTGGTCACTTACCCATGTCTGCTCTCTCGTAGCCGCTCTGCATGATGGTCCTGTCGATGCGTGCAATCAGCCAGGTGCCCAGGATGCAGCTGATGAGCAGCCTGGAGAGGCAGGCCCCCAGGCCCAACAGCACATTGTAGAAGAACAGGAAGTAGTTGAAGTTGTGGAAGACTCTCCTGCAGACAGAAGCCGCCCAAGGCAGCATCCTTCAGTAGGTCAAGGCGCTCAGGTGGGTGAACTCTGGAGTCTCCCAGACCCAGGGCCAAATCTTCTAACTCCCGTCTCAGAGCTCTGTGTCCCCACCTCACAGCACTAGGGTCAGGTACAGTATGGGGGATGCTGAGCACAGTCAGGGCGAATGTCAGTGGGGCCTGTAATATTCTGTGCCATCCTTGGAGGTGGGAGTTTTCTGCACAACAAATCTCAGGGCTACAGCTGGTTCAGTGGTTAGAGCAGAGGGTGGGGCTTCCCCTGTCTGTTGTAACAAGGACCTACCCCCTCCGGATCTGTTCCCAAGTCCTCCAGAGGAACTTCCCAAGTGACTACTAGTTTCCTGTTGCCTCTCAGGAAAGTCCAGACTTGGCATTTTGGGGTCCCCCCTCTGGGAGAGGCTTTCTGGTCTTATTTCTTGGTGTCCCCTCTCTGCCCTTCCCTAAGGCCACCTCATAGCAACTGTTTTTTGGGTTTTTTTTAATGTTTACAATAGACATTTATTTAAAGTAATACACTTGCAGACCAAATTCTTTTTAAATGAAATGTTTCAGGTTCAAGCCCAACTTCATAAAAATACTTTAAGGACAACCATATCCACGATTGCAACCTAGTCGCATCTTTGTCCACTCTCCTCTCTCTTTCCTTTCCCGAATAGCCCCTTTCAGATATGGTTCAAGGTAGAAATGATCCTCCTGGATTTTGTCCATTGCTTTTTAGACAAGAGCTGCTGCCTCATGGTCAGGACCGGCGCTCTCTGAATGTGAAACATCCTGTCATTATAAACGTGCTCAGGGGAACCAGCAGTTAGCGTAATGGCTATGTCGCTGGACTCCCACGCAGTCGACCAAGGTTCGCGTCCCGGACCCAGTGGCTTAAAACTCACGCCAGGCGCATGTGCATGCGTGCCCAAGATCCCGAGAGGAGAATGGAGAAGGGACTGCGGCATGACCATACTCCCTGGGGGGTGATTTCTCGCTTTCTGTCTCTCTGTCTCTCTCTGTCTGTCTGGCGAGCACATGCACCCTATAGCGAAAACCTACCCCCCCAAAAAAAGGTGCTCAGGAAGTCTTCGTGTGGCTTCCTTCACATCTTCATTCTCATATATCGTATCACCTCGCATTAACCCCAGTTTATTGAATCCTGCAGCATTGTAATGCTATTTTTTAATACCATCCAGCCACCAACCTGATGCTGAAATGGCCGGCCTGCTCGCCATTTTGACCCCCATAGCAACTATTTTGGATTCTTACTCTTCTCCTGACACACCCAGCCTTTCTGTGGCTTCCTGTCTTCATCCTTGCTGTGCTGGCTGCGGGGTATGCCCTCTCCTGCTCTCCCCCTGCCGATATCCACCACTGTGCTACTGACCTCGGCTTCAAGGCCATCTGCCGTGCAACTAAGCAAGCGTGCCGGTCCTCCTCCTCGATGCTCAATGACGCTCTCCTCCTCTCTGCCTCTCCTCTTCCCTTGCCTATCCTCCCTGCCTCTCCTCCTCCACATCTGCCTCTCCTTCCTGCCTCTCCTCCTCCACCTCTGCCTCTCCTTCCTTCCTCTTTTCCTCCCCTGCCTCTCTTCCCTGCCTCTCCTCCTCCGTGCTTCTCCCTCATTGCCCCGTTTCACCCATACTCCTTTTGCACTCTCTGGAGTCTCTGTCCTTGCCATCTGTGAGTCTGTCGGTAGGCTCTGAGCTTCTCACCAGCAGGTGGTATCTGGGTTCTCTCTTTACCATCAGTGCCGTGTTGTTTCCTCAGTGAGGAATGTCTCTGAATGAATTAACTAGGAAAGGTGCCATGTGCCGGGCACTATTGTCTAAGTTCACTTGTGGCATATTTCATTCTCACCTCTTGGAGGTTTGCACAATCATATGTAAATAGGAAGCAGGTTCATAGACGTTCAGTGAGTCCACACGAGATCACGTGGCTCATAGAGGGTGGAGCCAGAGTTTGGACCCAGGCAGTCTGGCTCCAGGATGTGCCTCTGACGGCTCATCCACACCCTCTCAGAGAGTGTAGACCCCACCTAGGACCTGTTAAGGGTGAAAGGGAAGGACCAAGAGACAGAGCGGAAGATGAAACCCTATGACTCCCTCATTCCCTCCTCCATGTCACCTGTTGTTGAGGGCCAAGGGCTTCTGCTTATCCGCTGGGCCCAGCTTTGGCTGCAGGAAGAAGCTGGCAGCAATCCACACCTGCAGGATCATGATACCCAGGACGATGGAGATGGTGAGGCTGAAACACAGGGCGGACCACCCAGAGGTGGCCTGTTACACTCTCCCATTTTTCATGCCCGTGAGAGAGAGGAGAGGGCCAGCAGTAGCTAGAGCCTTGAGTCTTGCTGCCCTAGAGCGTCGGCATACCCATTGTACAGATGAGGAAACCGAGGCTCACGGAGGGGAGGGGCTGTCCCCAAGGCCACGCAGTCAGGTTTTCTGGCTCCAAATCACAACCTCTCATATACCCAGGTTTCATCGCTGTCCCCTCTTACCAGGGCTTGCAGTTGGGAGTCTGGTTTAACAAGTTCAGAATTAAAGAAAAGAATGAACTTTTGAGAAGTGCCCAAGAATGTCAGAAGAGAGTGGACAGGTCAGACTCTGTCCCAGACTCATAGGTGACTCTAAGCAAGTGTAGAACCAAGGCGCTCAGAGCAGGGAGGTCCCCAGAAAGCACCACATGCTGTGGTGACATCCTTTGTGGCAGTATGGGCTAGAGGCTAAAAGGAGGCTTTGGTTTCAGGTTGCCAGTTCCCAGTCCTGAGTTGCCCCGCTCCTTGGACAAATACTTAGTCTCTCTGTGCCTCTGTTTCCTGCTCTGTGAAATGAAAGCTAACATAAGCCCCAGACTCACGGGGTTGTTAAGAGGAAAGACACATAGTAAATGCTCGGCGGCACTGCCATTCACTTTTTCTTCCAGATGTGTACACTGAGGCCCAGGGAAGGGAAGTTACCTGCCCCAAGCCACACAGCAAAAGCTTAACCAGATCCACAAGCTTAACCAGGATCCTCTGCCACCCAGCCACCTTCCATCCTACCACCCTGTCTTTCACCTTACCTTTCTAAAAACCGCAACTCCCCAAACTGGAAAACTGACATCCCTCTTTCTCCTCACACACACACACGCACGTGTGCGTGCACACACATACACACACACACTTGTGAGGGTCCTGTGTCATGGTGGGAGAGAAAGCCTTTTGTAGACCAAAGTTCCTCTCCCTGTGAATTGCTGTGAGGGCCCATCCTAGGTCAGAGCCAAGACCATGAGTCTGGGTTTAGTGGGGGCCAACAGGGAAGGGGTGTTTTGGGGAGCAGCTGGGCACACTCTGGCTCCCGGACATGGCAGTGGCAGGACCCCACCTACACTTACGTCCCGATGCCCAGCCTTTGGAGCATCTCCAGGCCTTGGTTGTGGATGACGGGCAGCACCAGGCCATACATGATCATCATGCCGCACAGGCTCTGCACCACGTGGATGATGAGGTAGCCTGGGGACCAAGGAGAACCGATGTCACCAAGGCCCTTCGTGATCCACTCCCAGGTCCCTCCCTGTAGTCCTCCCTCTACCGTCCCCTCCCCAGAGGCCCTGGCACATTTGCTTATGGTATTTCTTCTGGCATGGCTTCCCCTTTCTTCCTGCTCACCTCACTCACCCTGCCAGGTATAATTCCAATGTCAACTGCCCTGAGAACATCTGAGCCCTGCCCTGGGTGTGGATGGTCTCTTCCCCCCGGGTCTCCGCTGCCATGAACACACATGTCCCATGGTTCAGGACAGGTGGTGAGGATGACCTAGGGAGTGTGTGATTCTCCCTCCATTCTGAAGGTTGCCCGAGGCAGAAGCTTGGGTGCTTCTGGTTCACCCCTCTCCTCCCTGCCCACAGCCAGGACTCTGCAGGTGACCAAGGAATGTGTGCTGAATTGAGTGGGTCCCATGATGATACTTACCCCACAGAATATAGGCTATTTGCCAGCCAGAGTACCTTGCGATGGCCACCTGAGATTTAAAAGCAAAAAGGGGCTTCAGAGGGGAGAAAACCTTCGTTACCTCTGACCCATAGGCCTGGCTTCCATGTCTCATTGGACCATTTTAATTTACAGATGAGGGCCCAGTGGGGATGGTAGCTTGTCCGGAGTCACCCAGCCACAGAGCAGGACTAGACTTGTAGCCTGGGCACCTAGGCGGAGCTCTCCCTCCCCCAGGGCTGCCACATCCAGGGCACAGCAGAGAAGGCTCCAGCACTTGGCTTAGTCTCAGAGCACACAGGGCCTCCACAGACTTACCACACTCTCCGACGAGGTCGGATTATGGAACCTCAAAGGGAGGAAGTGTTTATCTCCTGCCCACAGCCTCTTCATGTGCTTTCTGGAAAAAAGTGGGACATGAAGCACCATTTATAACCAATGAAGGCTCTTTACAGATAGCCTATGAAAGTGAGTGGCAGGTAGCCTAGCCTTCCTTGTGTTGACCACAACTCATAGGATAGCTCTAGTTGCCATGGTGGTTAAGGATGCTGGATTCCCACATGGCTAACTACAGTTTGAGTCCTGGACCTGGTGGCTTGCTTTCTTACTTTCCCTTTCTCTCACTCTCTGTCTCTCTCTGGTCAAATTGAAAAAAAAAATTATCGATGAATAAATAAACAATTCTTTTTTAAAATTAAAAAATTAAAAATTAAAAAATTAAAATCTCCAGTTATAATATATTTTATAAAAACAATATATATTTACCCAGTCAGAATGCTTACTGCATCTAGTAGGTGAGATTCTGGGTGGCTTTAATGTTTTTCATTTTGCTATCTATATTTTCTTATTTTGCTATAATGACTATGTATTACTTACGTAATAATATTTGAAAACAGAAAGCCAGTCTTGTTGATGGCCTAACCTTAAAACAACATAAAGGAAAAATCAAAAAGGGGAAACAATCGCTCACAGTGCCAGCACCCCTTACCGCGAGTCACAGGACCCTTTTCTGAAGTTCTAGTCCAGTCCCGGGCCCTAGGCATAAAGATTAGATTGACATCGTACGTTCAGGGTCCACGTTCACAGCTGAGTCCTGCCACCAGCACGTCCCTAGGCTGTTTTGTACTTTTCATGACCACTACTTTGGAAAGACTTAGAATGAATAAAGAATGTAAATATCTTGTTAGTTGTCTCTTTTTAATTTTTGATTATGGCTCCTAGAAATCTCAAATTTCATTGTTTATGTGTCTTTCATTATTTTTATGTTTGGCAGTATTGGAGTTGTGTGTGCTACCACCACCAACACACACACACACACACACACACACACACACACCACATATTTACTTGTGCATAGAAAATTTCTGGAAATATATACCAAAAAAAAAAAAAGCAGTTAATAGCACTTAACTTGGGTTCATAAATTAGAAATCTAAGATAAAGACTTACTTTATATTAAATAGTCTTTGAAGTATTTTTAAGTGCCTTATGTAGGTTGGAATAATGTTAAAAGTAAACTGGGGTCTGCAGGTGGCGTAGTGGATAAGGTGCTGGACTCTCACTCAGCTAACAGCTGTTTGAGTACTGGACCTGGTGGCTTGCTTTCTCACCTTCTCTTTCTCTCTGTCTGGTCAAATTGAAGAATAAAAATAATAAATAAAATTAAATAAATCTTTTTTTTTAAGAAAAAAAAGGGAGAGAGAAAGCAAACTGTTGGCACCATGCTAGGGCTCTGCAATTTACAGGGTACTTTCTCATCCATAATTTTCTCTGCCCATGGGCAAGGATCATCCCTTGTGGGTGACCAGTTGCAGGCAGAGAGTTACCCGGAAGGGAACACAGGCTTCCCCTCTCCAGATGCCACCTCTGCCCTATGCTCCCAGCTGACCTCCTCATACACACAGCCCTCTCTCATTTTGGGCTTCCTTGTGTGCTCAAATGTCTATCCCCCAGCCACATGCAGACCAATGAAAAGAGCTGACATCTGCCACAGAATGGGCAGGGGGTGGAGTAGTGGCAGTGTCCAGAGAGAAAAAAGTGGAAAGAGGGAGCGAGGCAGGACTGTGTGCCAGGCTGGAGCCCTTCATGCCAGAAGAGTCTTCATGTGGGTGCCATCTGTAAGGGACCTGCCCTCTGGGCAGGCAGATGGGAGGATGTAAAGGCAGGATGCTCTGGAGGGCTAGAAATTGGTCCTAGGCTTTCTGTGAGTGTGTGTGTATGAGAGAGAGAGAGAGAAAGAGAGAGAGAGAGAGAGAGGGGAGAGAGAGAGAGAGAGAGAGAAAGTAGATAGGCTAAAATTCAACTGATACCTGTGTGCGAGAGCTCACTACATACTTAAGTCCACCCTCTCTTCCTGTACTTTTGAGACAGACACTCCTGGTCCCCTGGATCCAATTTCTGTGTCCCCTTCAGCCAGACACACGTGCTAGGAATCCAGTATTATTAATCCTGAAGAGGAGGGCAGGTCTGATATCCAACAGAGTTGTCTGAGTTACAAGAAATAACCAGATATCTCAGGTTAGAAAGACAGTTTTCTGCTAATTGCTTGGGTACATTATATAATTTTGTTGTAGCTCAGTTTTCTCAACTTTGGAAATGGAGATTAGGGGCCAACAGGTGGCATAGTGGTTGAGGGCACTGGACTCCCACATGGTCAATCACAGTTCGAGTCCTAGACCTGGCAGCTTGCTTTCTCACTCTCTTTCTCTCTCTGTCCCTCTCTGGTCAAATTAAAATAAATGAATAAATAAAGTTAAATAAAACAATTCTTTTTACAAAAATGGAGACTAAAGAATTTCCCCATCAAGGTTGTAAAATTCGAATGAAGATTACAAGCATCATGTTAGCTCATTGTGGAAGTTCAGATCAATAGTGTTGGTTTTTTAAATTTTTTTTCGTTTCTATGAAAAAATGTGGTTATCCCTTGTATTCACTTCCTGGGCCCATACTGGGCACTGCAGACACTGCTTAAGGAATTCTGAGAAAAGCCCATCATCTACCTTCATAGCCAATGACTACAAAGTCACAAATGACTCCCAGAGTTCTCTTACCTGTAACAAGCCAAGATGTGGAAGAGATAGCTCACACACGTGAGCGAGGCAGGCAGAATGGTCACCACCCAGACTCCTGAAATTCGAAAAGTGATATCAGCTGCCTCAAAAAATAAGCATGAAATGGAATTTTCTTTCTATTCTATTTAATTAATTTTTTTTTATGAAACAGAATCTTCAAAACAGAATCTTGCATTAAAAAGGTGAGGGAACCAGCAGTTAGCGTAATGGCTATGTCGCTGGACTCCCACGTAGTCGACTGCGGTTCGCGTTCCGGACCCGGTGGCTTAAACTCACGCCAGGTACGTGTGCGTGTGTGCCCAAGATCCCGAGAGGAGAATGGAGGAGAAGGGATTGCGGCGTGACCATCCCCCTGGGGGGTGATTTCTCGCTTTCTGGCTCTATGTCTCTCTCTGTCTGTCTGGTGAGCGCACGCGCCCTATAGCAAAAACCTCTCCAAGAAAAAAAGGTATAGGCGAAATCCATTATACTTCCTTTAACGCATTTTTTTTGTGTGTAAACGTTTGCTTATTTTTCTCTTTCATTTTAGCCATGCACACCTTTGATGTGCTTCACTTCCTGTACAATCCTTTCCTTTGGTACGTTGTATTCTCTCAGCAGTGAACAAAGGAAAGAGAAAGGCATGAGGTATTACATTATAGGTAGCCTCCAACGAGGAATATATCACTCATATTTGACCTCTAATTGCCCCTTGCCACCTTGTGAGGAGTGGGTGTTGGTTACACAGAAACAGAATTCTAGGACAACTGGGATCAGGAGAGCTTGGCTATTTACTCATCCATCCTTGAGCAACCTTTTGATATTTAGAACCTAATTTATTCTGGAAAGTTTCCGTGTGTTTGTGAGTGAGGGATGAAGAAACAGAGAAGAAAGATGAGTCAAAGCTTCTGCAGAAGCCGATTCTCAATAGATTTAGGAAAAGCATTTAACAAAACTACATCCCTTTATGACTAAAGACACCCAAGAAGCTAAGAATAGAAGGGGAGGGGCTAGCAGGTGGCATAGTGGTTAAGGCACTGGACTTCTGTGTGGTCAACCACAGTTCTGGCCCCAGATCTGACGGTTTGAAAATCATGCTAGGTGCAGGTGTGTCCATACCCAAAATCCAGAAAGGCGAATGGAGGAGAAGGGAATGTGGTATGGACATCTCCCCAGGGGCTGATTTCTCATTTCCCTCTCTCTCTGTCTTTCTCTGGTGAGCACATGTGCCCTAAGGCAGAAAAACAAACAAACAAAGAATTAAAGGGGATAGTTGTTTTTTTTGTTTTGTTTTGTTTTGTTTAAGTCTGTTAAAAGACATACTGGGACAAGCAGGTAGCATGGTGGTTAAGGGTGCTGGACTCTCACATGGCTGACTGTGGTTCGAGTCCTAGATCTGGCAGCTTGCTTTCTCACTTTCCCGCACACTCTCTCTTTCTCACTCTAGTCAAATTAAATAACCTCTTTTTTTTTGGAATTATTTTTTATTTAATTTTGTTTATTCATTTATTATATTTTAAGTTGACCAGAGAGAGAGAGAGAGTGGGAAAGTGAGAAAGCAAGCCATCAGGTCTGGGACTTGAACCATGGTCAGCCATGTGGGAGTGTCCAGTGCCTTAACCACCACACCACCTGCTGGTCTCACTCTGGTCAAATTAAAATAAATAAGTAAATGAATAAAGTTAAATAAAATAATTCTTTACATTAAAAAAAGAAAAAGACATATACTAAAACCCTACAGATAACATCATACTTAATGGTAAAAAATGGAATGCTTTCTCCCTAACCTCAGGAACAAGAAAAGCAATGTTCAGTCCACTCTTGCCAGCTCTAGTCAACAGTGTAATGGCTATACAGGCCAGTGCAATTAGGCAAGAAAAAGAAAATAAAGTGCACCCAGTCTGGGGAGAAAGAAGTAAAACTATCTCTTCACAGATGACATAATCTTACATATAGAAATTCCCAGGAAACACACAAAAAGCTATTAGAACTAACAAATACATTCAGCAAGGCTTATAGGATACAAGACCGATACATAAAAATCAATTATATTTTTATGCACAAACAATGAATGAACTAAAAGTGAAGTAAGAAAACTATAATGCTTACAATAGTACGAAAAAGAGTAAAATATGTGAGAATAAATTTAGCAAGAGAATGTAAAAAAAGGTATACTGAAAACTACAAAATATTTTCAAAGAAATCAGAAAAGATGACACTTGTGGTGTCATGTTGGTGCTCAAAATGTTTCAGTTTTTTTTTTTTTTGTAGAGGTTTATGCTATAGGGCATGTGCACTCGCCAGAAAGATAGAGACAGAGAGACAGAAAGCGAGAAATCACCCCCCAGGGCGGACAGCCACACCGCAATCCCTTCTCCTCCATTCTCTTCTCTGGATCTTGGGCACGAACACACACATGCCCAGCGTGAGTTTCATCCACCAGGTCCAGGACTCGAACCACAGTCGACTACATGGGAGTTCAGTGACATAGCCATTACGCTAACTGCTGGTCCCCAAAATGTTTCAGATTCTGAAGCATTTTGGATTTTGAATTTTTAAATTAGGAATGTTCAACCTATACATGAATGTCCACAGCAGTATTATTCATAATAGCCAAAATGTTGAAATAACCCAATGCCCATCAACTGATGAAAGGATAAATAAAATGTGGTGTATCCATACAATGAAATAGTAACTGGTCATAAAATGAAATAAACAATTATTTTTAAAAAATCCAGACGTGCATTATGCCATGAATGAACCTAGTAAACATTATGCTACATGTGCACACCTGCCATCAGTTCAAGTCCCTCTCTGCTTCCCACACCAGTGTTGGGAACATGGGGAGCAGAGGGTCTTACCTTTGCTGACACTGATCAGCTCTTTTACCCGCAGGATGACTGGAGTCAGGGTCCCTGTCTGGTTCATGGAGGCGATGTAGCCCTCCATCTGGCCTTCCAGCCCGTCCAGCTCATCTCTCACATACACGAACATGCAGAACTCTATGACAATGAACTGGAGACACAGGGCAAAGGGGATCCTCAGAGTCCAGTTCAGCATGAAAATAACACATTCTTCTCTTCAGTTTTGAGGCCAGCTTTTCCCAGGTATTCAAAACCCTTCTGAAAACGACTCTTATTCTGAGACAATAGTCATCTCACACTGTCCTTCACCCTATACTGTGCAAGACTAGGCCTCCCCAAGGGCTCAAGGGACTCTTCAAACATTCACAGAATCTGAGTGAAAAAGAATGACTTTGAGTACATGGTGACCTCTGGGGACAATTCCAGCCATATGTTCCACCGCTCCCCTTCATGGATTTGGGCAGGAACCAAATTAGAGAAGGGACTTCATGTATGTATGTCATGCTTACCTGTCAGCCTATCATCTTATCATCACGCCATTGCTTCTATAGTGCCAGCTGCCATTTTATCCCACCCACCAAATCATGCTTATTTCTGAAAGTGGAGCTCCAGTGCAATCATCTTCAGGCAGCTCGTCAATCTAGAGTAATTTGCTAAGCATCCAGAGTACTTTCACCTTGTTCATTTTCTTCCTTAGAACGTCAGGCACCTCATACTGTCTCCCCTCCTTGTGGACCAGGGGCTTCTCTGAGACAGTACTATGCTGAATCAGCTCTCTGCTCTCTTCCAGCTCCTAGCATAATGCTTGGCATAGAGTAGATATTCAATAAATATTTAAGAAATAAAATAACTCCAAGTAAGTTATTTATTATTGCAGACAATTCTAGTAGTCCCTTAAAAGCTTTTCTCCCTGAGATGGCCCCATAGCACAGTGGTTAAGTGCTGTGCATAGAAAACCAGTTTCCACTTGGTGAATTGTGGTTGAAACCCCAGCCCTGTAAATCTTGATGGGATGGGATGGGATTGCAATGTGTGGTGTAACCAATACTTTCTTCCTCTCTTTCTGTCTCTCTCTGGCAAGTGCACACACCCTTTGGCAATTATTATTATTATTATTATTATTATTATTATTATTAGTTAGAGAGAGATTTTTGCTATAGGGCCCATGTGCTCACCAGAGAGACAGAGAGAAATCACTCCCCCCCACCGCCCCCAGGGAGGATGGTCACACCTCAAACTCTTCTCCATTCGTCTCTGAGGATTTTGAGCATGGATGTACACACGCCCAATGATAGTTTTAAGCCGCTGGATCCAGGACTTGAAGCACAGTCGACTATGAGGGAGTCTAGTGATGTAACCATTACGCCATCTGCTGGTCCCAAAAATCTTTTTTTTTTTTTAATCCATTCTCTTTTCTTTAGGAGACTATACTTCCCAGCCTCCCTTACATTAGGTGTGGCCACATGACCAGATTTTTGCCAATGGAAAAAGAGTGGAAGAAATGCGTTGCTTCCACATGCAGTCCATGAAAGCCTCCCACAAACATATCTCCATGTTCTTCCCTTCTGTCAACTGCATGCAGTTGGTGATGAGGTCCTCAAAAATGGTAAAGGCATAGGATGGAAGCCCACTGGATTCCTGGCTGAGCAGGAGGAGAGTGCCACTTCCCCTACCTGAAGATCCAATCAGCGCTGTTATGTGGGCAAAATACATAGTGGTGTGCCACTGAAATTTAGAGTGTGGGCCAGCAGGTGGCGTGGTGGTTGAGGTGCTGGGTTCCTATATAGCTAACCATGGTTCAAGTCCCAGACCCAGCAGCTTAAAAATCTCAACAAATAAACAGATTGATTAATTTAAAAAATAAAGGAAGTTGAGGGAGTTATTTGGTACTTCAGCACAACCTGACTGATACATTTCCTTTAGACTTAATCACAGGATTAACTTAAATAGTCTTGTCATAGTGCATTTTAAGTGATTGTTTTTTTCCTCTCTCTTTTTTATAGTATGACAAGGTAAGGCTTATTTGAGGAAGGGATAACTGATTTAACATCTAAAAATCTGCTGGTATACCTACATGAATAAATGAATGGTGACAATCATGTAATTATTTCAATATATACTATAAATTATTTGATAAAATTCAGCTTTGTCATTTTCATTCCTCCATTTTCACCTGTTTGACTCAGCCATTTCACTTCAGATAACTTGGACCACACAAAATGTTTTGATTCTAGGCTTAAGGAAAGATTGAGGGCCCAGGAGGTGGTGTGGTGGTTAAGGTGCTGAATTTCCACATAGCCGACTGCAATTCAAGTCCCAGACCTGGCAGCTTGTTTTCTTATTTTCTCCCTCTCTCTCTCTGTTTCTCTCTGGTCAACTTAAAAGATAATGATAATAATAATAATAATAATAATAATGAATAATAAAATTAAAACAATAATTCTTTATTTTTTTAAAAACAATAAAGCATTGAACTCAGAATTATGCCAAGCAGGGATATGGCAGTAACACAACTAGATCCACACAGGAAAGCTCCTGAGTTTACATCCCAGGTCCTCTCTGAGCGTAGTAGGGGCACACACCTGTGACCTGTTACAGGTGAGTCTGGGGGTGGATCACAGCATGAAGACCCTATTGAAGTGCTCTCTCTCTCTCATGGAAGAAGTAAACTTCGTAAAAAATTTAAATGTTTTAAAAATAAGAATTATGGGGGCTGGCAGGTGGTGTGGTGGTTAAGGCACTGGACTCATGGCTGACTGCAGCTCAAGTCCTGGACCTGGCAGCTTGCTTTCTCACTTTTCCTTTCTCTCTGTCTCTCTCTCTGGTCAAATGAAAAAATAAATAATAATAACAAATAAAATTAAATAAATATTTTTTAAAAAATAAGAATTATGCCAACAATTGAAATTTTTTATTGAGAAATTAAATTTAAATAAGGCTTAATCCTTTTTATTGATTTAAGAAATACAGTATAAGGCCAGCAGGTGGCGTGATGGTTAAGGCTGCTGGACTCCCACATAGCCGACTGTAGTTCAAGTGTCAGACCTGGCGGCAAATTTTCTCACTTTCACTTTCTCTTTCTTTCTCTCTCTCTCTCTCCCTTTCTGGGCAAATTAAAAATAAATAAATAAAGTTAAATAAAATAATATTTTTTATAAAAGAAATGCAGTACAGTAAACCAATTCTAGTTTACCCATTTTATTTTTAACTTGCTGTGATTATTTTTATTAGGTTCAATTATTTTATATTTAAATTATTTGACTTCTGTTCACAGTATAATTCACTTACTATAGAGTCTACTATTTTAATTTTCTTTAGAGATAATTATTTCCACCAAGTCAATTTTCTTAGGTCAAATTTTGCATATCAAAATGTTTTCAAGTACATTTTATTCTTCTATCAAAATTTGTAGTCAGTGAGCGACCACCAAATGGTGTAATGGTTACATCTCTGGACTCCCATGTAACTGACTGCAGTTCAAGTCCTGGACCCAGCGGTTTAAAATTCACACTAGGTGCGGGCACGTGCGTGCACATGTGTGTGTGTGTGTGTGTGCACCCAAGATCCCAAAAGGAGAATGGAGGAGAAGGGAGTGCAGTGTGGCTATCCCCTGGGAGGTGAGTTCTTGCTTTCTGTCTCTCTGTCTCTGTCTCTCTGTTGAGAGCATGCTCTCTATAGAAAAAATCTCAGTGACCACAACACATTTCTAGTCAGTGATTAATTTCACCATGTGGCGTTCTACCCATTACCAGTTTTATTTTGTTTGGGTTATCTCGACTAGAAATATTTACCACATGTGTAAAAGTGTCAATGGAATCAAAATGGTGGGGTTGAAACACTGTCTCTTTGATTTATGGGGATTCCATTTTGACCTAGCTTTTTAGAAACTTTGCTGTTGTCTCAAAGACTCCACAACCCCAGCCCCCAACCTGCCCCGTTTATAAACTATACAAGGATTTTCTTGGAACTACTTACAAGGTAGAGACAGATGAAGGCCAGCACTATAGTTCCAATCATCCTGCTCGGGAACTGAAAGCAGGGGTCCCACTCATATATCCTGGTTTGGAACCAAGTCTTTTTCCTCTCCCTGTGCATGAATAAACACCAAGAAAAGAGGTTATGGTAAGTAAACAAATGCCCCACTCTTTTGAAAATAACACCATTTTCTCTTCATCTTGGAGTTTAGTGTAGTGAAAGAGCATTGGTGGTTTCTACAGTTCTCATTCTCCCCCTTTTTTTTTTTTAAGAATTATTTGTTCAACTTTATTTATTATTATTATTTTAAAATTTGACCAGAGAGACACAGAGGGAGAGAGAAGGAAAGTGAGATAGTAAGCCTCCAGGTCCAGGACTTGAACCATGGTCAGTCATGTGGCAGGCCAGTGCCTCAACCATCATGCCAACTGCTGGCCCCATCTCTCCTGTTCTTAAGAACAAAGACTGGGTTTAATTTAGGGCAGCAATTCACCACACTAAAAGCCCTAATTTCCTAGCCTCTCTATGCAGCTAATGAGATCAGACTAAGTTCAGGTCAATGAAGTGTGACTGAAAGGATGAGCTGAGAATTCGGAGAAGCTGCTCAGTAGAGCAGAGATCCCTGGCATTGCCTTCTTTTCTTCAGCTTGCCATCCGAAATGCAGACATGGTGTTTCAGCTAGGCCAGAACTCCAACAGCCTTGCTGGACCACGAGATGACATTGTGGATGGTAAGTGCATACTAAGATGCTGGAACAGATAGATAGGTGATGGGCGAATTGCCATGGTGAGCAGCCAAGAGTCAGTGTGGACTGCCTGTTACCAGAGCTCCTCTACGTGAGAAAGAAATACATCTCTCTCTTGTCTGTGCCACTATTATTTTGGGTTGTCTGCTATATATAACTCAGTCTAGCTTTGTCACCATGTGGCCATGGACTAGATACATCCCTTCTCTGGGACATAGTCCCATGTGCATGGTGGCAGAGACAGATGTGGAGGTGGCTTGTACAGTTCTGAGATCTGGTGCTTTCACTTGGTCAATGTCGATGTTCTTCTCCATGGTAACAAAACCTCATTTTTAATTTTGCAAACTACCTCTCCCCTATCCTGGGTCCTGGTGGGTAAGTGACACTGACATACTTCCTGGCTCTGGGAATGAAGGGGGAAACATGTGACTAGGGTTTAGCCAATCAGAGCACTCCAATTACCTAGCTACAGTAATTGGTTCCAGGGTGGCATGTGATCCAATTTGATCCAAAGAAGCACATATGTGGAACTTCTGTTGAATGATTAGAAAAGGAAAATTTCTGGGACCAGCAGGTGGCGTGGTGGTTAAGGCACTGGACACTCCCACATGGCTGACCATAGTTTGTCTTAGACCTGGTGGCTTACTTTCTCACCTTCTCTCCCTCTCTCTCTCTGGTCAAATTAAAAATAAATGAATAAATAAATAAAGTTAAATAAATAATTCTTAAAAAAAGAAAAGGAAAATTTCTCTTTCCTCTGAGCTTAAACCAGGAGGATAGAAGCTTAGTGAGTGGGGCCACCACGTTAGGAAAACCTACCTAACTGGAAGGCCAACACAGCTAAAAAGCAGAGCCTAGAGGAGACTGAGGGGGAACGACCTGATTCTGACGGTATCAGTTAGACCCCTGGATCCTGCTTGCCCTAAACCAGGTACCTTTGGACCTTTTAGTGATGTGAGCGTCCAACTGTCCTTTCTTTCTTTAGTCCAGTTTGAGGGGGTTTCTGTTATTAGCAAATGAGAGCCCTGACTACCCCAGTGCCCTCCACACCTCCCAGGGCCTGTCCTCAGGGCTCATCAGCGCCGGTGCAAACCTGCGGGCAATGAACAGAAGCGCAGCTTACGGAAGGCAGGGCTTCCTCAGGAGCTGTTTGACGTGCTCTGCCTGGTGCACTTCCAGGATCGGCTTTTCTTCCTGTGAAACAGGAGACCGGTTATGCTTTGGCTCACACGTTCTTAGGGTTTGGTCTGTGTTCTCTCTGAGGGGCTAACATAACAGAGAGCAGTAATTTGGATGTGGAGCAGAGGGTCTCACACAGGGCAGAACTTTGGTATGAGTTGCTCTTCCAGATTTAGCTATTCACAGCCACTTGCCGTTTTTTGAGGAGAGCAGCGGGGTCCAGCGTCCTGTGTGTAGAACACTC